ATATAAAAATGACCAAAGTTTCCAAATAATCAATTGCTTGTGAAATTCGTTTTTCAAAAAAATTAAATTGGGAGAAAATCATCACGATTATTCAGCTGTGCTAGCCACTGCTGCTAGTTCGGCCGGCTTACGATAGCGCTGAATATTACGAATAAAAGTACTGTCCCAGCAATCACATCTGCTTCTTTTCAAGCACTGGGTTTGTTAGCCGTACAGCCACTCTCTTAGCTTTTGCTCCTATCTGATGACGTAGACCCAGGACGGAGGTGAGGTGATGAAGTGTCAGTGAAGAAACCGGTACCCTTTTTACCTCGCAGCTAGCCAGAATGACATTACCAGCAAAGACAAGGAAGACGCGCTGATGAAAGTTCAGTCTCCCTTGTCTTCGCCAGTAATACTATTTGCCTATATTTATAGCTGTTATGGCTGCCGTCAGGGCCGAGAAATGAGGCCCAAGGCAGGGCAGTGTGGGACAAGAGAGTTCTGTTAGCGCTTGGTGAACGTTCATCAACGAGTGTCAATATTTCCTAACCTAAACCCGCGAGATGACGAGCTCGTGGCTCTGATCAAGCGGCCGTGAGTTCGAGACCCGAGTGCTGCAGCACTTGGGACTGTCTGAAGATGGCTAATAAGTCGGAAATGGCTATTCTAGTCTCCCTTTTCTTTCTCGGCAATAGTACAAGAAAGGCTCTAACGACAACTTCTCGCTTATTAACCGCCGTCAGACAGTCGTACCCAACCCCATAGGTAGCCACGGCCGAGGCTCGAACCCGTAACCTTGTTAATTGAAAGTCCAACGCTCTAACCATTACGCCACGAGCTCGTTGCCTTGCCCGTTTCGATCTTGAATACAAACACACACACACAAAGGTAGATGGACGCCCACCGATCGGTATGGAACTCATTTAAGTGAGGAAAGTTATCTGAAAGGAAAAGTTAGGGTGAGCTGTACTCACCGACGGAGCCGGTAGCAGGTCCTTGGCGCCCACCTCTGTAGTCGTGTGACCCCTGCTTCTCACTCGCCAGACGGGTTCCACATTGACAAAGAGGTAGCAGTTGCGTAAGAGGTTTGGTGACGAACCCAAGTCACGCCGAAGCAGGAACTCGGTGAGTCGGCGTTCTATGGGCGGCGCGAAGTCGAACCGGATGCGGAGGGTTTTGGGTGGGGCTGGCGAACCGTTCCATGGAGGTGTTGCCATCGCCGCTGTTGCCTGTCGGGGTTTCTCTGTTGACTGGTAGACAAAGCCTAACAGGAGGTGGCAGGGAAGATCTACCGTGCCCAGTAGCTAAAACGAACGGATGCAGAAGAAGTTCAAGTCCTAAACGCATGCATTATCGGTATCAGTTTATTTGGGGAAAGATAGGTTGTCGCCAGTTATCGCGTCGACCACAGAAGGCTTCCCCAAATTAAGACAGG